TGCATAAAGTGTCCTTCCTTGATGTCAATCGATATAAGACCTATGGATAATATCTCCACCAAAGAAAAACTTGCAAGTGGAAATCCACACATGACAATCCATATTTGCTATTAAGTGCCCTGCTTGAATAAATGCCACATGATCAACTTTAAGAGCAGTCTAAAAGAAATCTTTATAAGCGCCCTACCATGACCTAATATGTACATGATGATCCATATTTTCTTGTGCAAGTCAAAACAGCAAGTCTAGTTCCCTCTGTCAGTTTCAAAGCACCCAATGCACTTATAACAGCAAATACTGTAACTAATATTCCATCAGCTGTCTTAATAACATTTGCCAAGAGAAAATATCAAAATCATCACCTTTGAAAACAACAAACATCATGTTAGAAGAAAACAAATAATATTCTCTACTTTCCTTGCTTTTGGGAATAAGATCTGAAAAACAATTATTAAATTTGTTGTTGCCGAGCCTGAACAAAATGTGCTTGTGTAAACAAGCTGTGACCAGGCTTGACATGGTCCCCAGTGAGAAACTGTGCCTAGTGTCAGAGTACAGTGTTTATTGGGAGCCTCATGTGTGTGCAGTGCAGTGTCCGGAATAACTGCCTGCCTGCCTGCCTGCCTGCCTGCCTGCCCGTGGCTGGTAACTTTTCTGTCGGGCTGCTTGAAATTTTCCTCCACCTGCCTGACTGTCTAGCAGATAATTTTGAGACTACTTACGTATTCAGTTTTGTCATAACTCCTTGTAGATTCTCAAGTAATTCTTTGTATAATTTCAACTAAATGAAGACACAATTTGTCCATTTTTTGTTATTGCGATTTTTCAATATTCCTAATGTCCGAATGTGGGCAGGTAACTATGAAGATGGGCCGGCAACACATATGGGTCACCTGGTCTACTGACTTGTTGGGTTATTATTTCCAGCACTGGTGGAGTGACACTTAAATCAAACAGATTCACTTCACATGACATGATGATAAAAAAATACATATTTTGGGGGGCAGTAATGACAGGAATTTATGCATCAAACTGTCATGTGACTTTTCCCCCTTAAAATTACAAAAGGTTTTCACATGACTTTTGAGCTGTTACCATGGTTACTCTGGCATAACGAGAAAAATATTATATCATAGTTTTCCGTATAGTTGCACCCTAATCCCATCTATGTCGGCATGACATAACTGGGAAATAGTTCAAAAGTATCACACAAATAACACCGCCCTGCTTGGTCAATGTATCAGTCACGCCTAAACACAAGCAATTATTCATCCTCTCTGCAGGGAGAGGTTTTTTTTTTCTGAAAAATATATCAACAAGTATCTAAACATTCAAAAGAGTGCTATTTCTCAGGCACCATGAAACAATTTTTTCTTTCCGTAATATCACTGTGTGTCAGCTTAAAAAATATTCAAGCCCTTGTTTACTGAAAATCTAATTATAGATGCCTCTCATAGTAGGAACAAAATAATGTGCCCTTTTTTCGTGTCCAAAAAGTACTGTTATATTTATATATTTGAAAATAATTAAAAATCAGCACCTGTTTGTTTGAAAATTCAACTGAGCTCCTAAATATTAAAAAAAAGCCAGTCCCCACTCCCAACCACCTCCTTGAAAATCAAATGGTTGCTCTCTAATCAGCTGGTAATGTGAGGAAAACCTGAACGTCTCAATATTGAACACTTTGGTATGGTGCAGACAAACTAAGAACAATAAGTAGGTTGAATCTTGGATTTTAATCATAGTATTCTGGTACACATAAGGGACACAACTCTGCACAGCAATTCCAGTGTCTTAGCAGGGATTTATCTGCACCTGCTCAGAGGCCAATATCCAATATCCGTATTGTCAGAAAAAGTTTTATTTGAATTAAATATTTCCCAATTCCTCTGAATTAATGTATATAAGAACATGATGAACATTCCAATTTTGAACAAAGTAAAGAGGGCATTTATTCTGGTCTTCCATACCATCCCTGCTCAGATGACAGAGCGGCCCATGCGGCCATGTTTGTCAGTGTATCAGTGGATGAGAGTAGACCCTCCACCATATGTCCAGCGCTCAACACGACTGCCTATCCTCATGCGCATTTACAAATTTAGTTTTGACATCTGAAAATATATCACAACATACACTTCACCTCAGCTGAATTAGCACCATCTTTGAACAAACAAATGACCACAGTAACATGAAAAGGTTACCATGGTAACAGGAGAATGGTGCACCATCAGAATATGATCACTTATCATTTGAAATGAAGGATTCTTTTTGGGTTGTGGCCAACACATGTTTATCTTGATTGCAATCTCATGATTCGACAATTTCTTGATTGACATGTTCAAGGCACACACACATATTCTTGTATTTACATAGTGTAATATTGCAAGCAATGATTGTGTACTAACATAAATAATACACATGAGAAGGATGAAAATATTAGCTTCCGAAAAATACAAAACAAATGAACATGTCATAGCAATATTTGTAAGTATTTGATTTCCCTTATTGATGTTATTATTTGTTGTTATAGCTAAAATGGATAGAATTATCACTAAACCGCCCACATGTTATCAGAAATGAGCCGGCCACTGTAACTTGATAATGCCCTCATATTGCTTGACGACAGGCCATTATCACACCCGTTGTTAGGTGACGTCATAGGATAGGGATAGGCGACGTCACGTTCAATAGTGACGTCATCAGGTTTGTTCTATGACGTCTCCATATTTGTAAAAGTGGGTCAGTGACATTTTTGTTGATTACAGTAAATATTTCAAAACCAATATTGTTGTTTCTTTTTATTTGATAACAAATTCCATCCATTTTAGCTTTAATAATGGTAATGCTATTTTTCAGGGCATTATCATTTGCAGCAGCCCTCGGTCTTTTCAACTGGCCTCCTTCGTCGGGCAGTTAATGGAAGACCTCAGGCTCCTGCAAATGATAATGCCCTGAAAAATAGCGTTACCTTATAGTAATTCATGTATGTCAAATGGCTGAGTGAAAGAGGTTAATTGCTGCTTTTGTGTTTCTGCTATTGCAGTCGGTAGGTCGCGTAGCCTAGTGGTCAAAGCGTTCGCTCGTCACGCCGAAGACCCAGGTTTGACTCCTGACATGGGTACAATGTGTGAAGACCATTTCTGGTGTCCCCCGCCGTGATATTGCTGGAATATTGCTAAAAGAGGCGTGAAACCATACCCACTCACTCACTCATTAATGCACAATCTGTCAGCTTAATGTGGGAGTATTTAGGTTATTTTACAGTGGGTCAGTTTGATGTTGGAGTATCTAGGTTATTTAACAGTGGGTCAGTTTGATGTGGGAGTATCTAGGTCACTTTACAGTGGGTCAGCTTGATGTGGGAGTATCTAGGTTACTTTACAGTGGGTCAGTTTGATGTGGGAGTATCTAGGTTACGTTACAGTGGGTCAGCTTGATGTGGGAGTATCTAGGTTATTTTACAGTGGGTCAGCTTGATGTGGGAGTATCTAGGTTACGTTACAGTGGGTCAGCTTGATGTGGGAGTATCTAGGTTATTTTACAGTGGGTCAGCTTGATGTGGGAGTATCTAGATTACTTTACAGTGGGTCAGCTTGATGTGGGAGTACCTAGGTTATTTTACAGTGGGTCAGCTTGATGTGGGAGTATCTAGATTACTTTACAGTGGGTCAGCTTGATGTGGGAGTACCTAGGTTATTTTACAGTGGGTCAGCTTGATGTGGGAGTACCTAGGTTACTTTACAGTGGGTCAGCTTGATGTGGGAGTACCTAGGTTATTTTACAGTGGGTCAGCTTGATGTGGGAGTATCTAGGTTATTTAACAGTGGGTCAGCTTGATAGTAAGTGGGAAAGCCTGTAGAAGTGGTGTTCCCACCCTTTACCACTTTGGGGGACCACGAGAATGAGCTGACACTTGTAGAATCATCATCAGGGCAATTCACAGGATTGTTGCATCACTAGGGGAAGCAGCTTTGCAGCATCAGAAATTGGCACTAGTCCTGTCATCCTTGCCAAACTGCCAAACACTTAAGGTATCATAAGGACAAGTAGATATTTTCCATGTTTAAGGGTTTTGCTATGTTATCATTGTGAGGACTAGTGGACTAAAACTGTTAGTTTCTACCGCTGCTCTGCACAATGAGATACGTGAGAAGACTGGACACAGCAATACTGACTACACTCAACCAAGTCTAGAAAATAACAATTGTAAATAAACATCAACATAGAAAAGTGTGTGACCATAATAAGCAGACATACCATTCCGTAACTTAGTAAATAGAAGTTGTGTATTTCATCAAAACACCCACCCATGAAATATCAGAGTGAATGCTAAGGTTTGATCAAAACTTTATGTTGGCAATATTGTTTTATTTGTTGTTTAACGCCACACTCAGCAATATTCCAGCTATATGATGACGGTCTGTAAATAATCGAGTCTGGGCCAGACAATCCAGTGATGGACATCATGAGCATCGATCCACACAATTGGGGTACGATGACATGTATCAACCAAGTTAGCGAGCCTGACCACCCGATCCCGTTAGTCGCCTATTACGACAAGCATAGCGGCCTTTACGACAAGCATGGGTTGCTGAAGACCTATTCTATCCCGGATCTTCATGGGTCTAATGTTAGCAGTATTCTAGCAATATCACGGTGGCTTGAGAAAGTGTGTGAGTGGGTGAGTGAGTGACTGAAAGGCTTCAACAGTACTAGAGTTGTTTGATACACAGGTGTGGTGTTGACATATCTTAGATCATGATAATGGGGAATCTGAGATTTCCAGTGGATGAATAAGTCAGTGAGTTGGGTTTAACGCTGCTTTAAACAGTATTCCAGTTATATCGCGGCATGTCAGCTTAATGTGGGAGGAAAGCCTGAAGTGATGCAGGTCTCAGACGTTTACCACTTCGGTGAAACCCACGAGCACGGGTATGGTGCTGACAAACCTAGAAACATAATAGGGGCGAACCGGGATTCGAACCCACAATCATAGGTTTCTGGCGTGCCCATGGGATGCAACTCTGCACAGCAAATTGCGGCAGCTTAAACGACTGGGCCACCCGTGCCCCCTCGAGTGGATGAGTGAGTCAGTGAAAGGAACGGTGGCCTGTAAATAAATCAAATCGAAAATCTAAATACCCAACCAGTACATCCAAGCAGCTGAGAGATGTAGCGTTTTCGAGTTCACATTCTTTTAGTCCAGTTAATTATCTTGAAAAGGAAACTTATAATTAAAAAAAAAAATTATTTAAAAATTAGGATTAATTTGGCTTCAGTATGTTGTCAGCAATACATGCAATCTATAACAATTATGTCAATACTCAAAATATCAATTCCCACAGTCATATTTTGATTATTACACCTAAACACTTAAAACAATCTTACATCATTTTTGAGCTGGTGCTATTTAATCAACAAATGTATTACAGGTGACATTACATCCCCATGATTCTCCCCCACAACAATGAAGAGAGGCTACACTGTTCGATCAATGTCACCCTCCGGTCTCCCATGTTGACTTGGAACAGTGGAAGTCAATAGGCTCTCAGACCGATGTGTGTCGACAAACAGACCCATCACATCAGCTAAACTCTCTTCAGAGACATGGCTATTATATTTAAGTTGACCAAGAAAGTGAAACTTTTCAATGAAGAACATACCCAAAAGAAGGAATGCTGATTTCTACATCAACACAATCAATGACAAACTTAAACCTATGCATATAGCAACTCCAAAGTATTTCTTTTACACTGACTTTGTTTATTTACTTGATTTATGCGTTCTTCGACCTCCTTCAATGTGGCACAAAACATACTGTATAACCAAGCTTGTTAAAAATATTCATTAATCATGATATTGAAAATGACCCCAAAGTAAATCCAAATAAGAAGGGATGTAGCTCTTGTCAATGAGAGAAACACTCCAATCAGCAATACAGATGGAACATTGCTGACTCAGCATTAAACAACATGAACTCACCTGTCTGAATGTTAGCACATTCTAAATATTGGGTGCAATTGTTTTACGGTAATAGTTTGAAAACAAATGGGAATATAAACTCTGCAATACTGTTTTTTGTGTACTTGTGATAACCAGTGCAAAATCAACCTTGGACGAACAGAGCTAAGTAGCGCTGTAGGGCTGGGACGGGTAACTCCGTACTCGGTCGGGTGGGTCCTTATTAGGACTACCACAGGATTACCCGGACCCGTGGTGAATCATATAATGTTTAATGACCATAACAGTCAAGTGCCATGGTTACACATCCAGTCTCTTAACGTTCGCATTTCTTTCTGACTATGCACACATTCCTTCTGACTGTCATATGTTTAAGTGAAGACAAAGTTTTTGTCATCTTCAGTTGTTTTATGTGCGTATTGAAGTAGTTTTTCTCAATCGGACTTTTAGTACCCAATTTGAGACAGCAGGTACCCAGGCAGGGTCGGGCAATAGGGACTCGGGTAGGTGTCTCGTACATTTAGACTCATCCCAACCCTACAGTGCTGTATTGAGACAGCAGGTACCCAGGCAGGGTCGGGCAATAGGGACTCGGGTAGGTGTCTCGTACATTTAGACTCATCCCAACCCTACAGTGCTGTATTGAGACAGCAGGTACCCAGGCAGGGTCGGGCAATAGGGACTCGGGTAGGTGTCTCGTACATTTAGACTCATCCCAACCCTACAGTGCTGTAGGAGGAATTCAAAGCAGCAAATTAGTAGCCAGTAGCTGTTGATGATGAAGTGGAAAGTACATGTATGTAGTCACAGTAACTGATGCAGTATGAAGCACCTTCCTCTCACTCACTCGACCATCAATAGGGGCTAATACATTGGGTTAGAAAGGCCTTTCTACAATATAAGCTGAGGCCTTTTATTTTTCATAAGTTGGTTTACAAAGTTATTGGCCTAAAATTCAATGTAGGTCGTCGAATGTCTAATAACTTTCAAGATTCAGATTAATACTGCTATTAATGTATCAAAAGGAAACTTGTAAGACAAAAGACAGTATATTTTCTGTCTAATTTCACTGTTTGTTGTTGGTCATTCTTGTAAACCAACTAAAAAAAAGGCATTTAAAGGTAACATTAATTTCAGGACCTGCCTGAGTGTCAGAACATATGAAAATATATTACATGGGACTTTCAGTTCATATCTGTTATCTTTTGTTATAAAAATGTTGAAAATGTAACAAAATTGGTGCATGAACTGATATATATGTCTAGAAAGTGCTAGTCATTCATGAACTAAAATAAAAATATCATGATAGTCCTAGTTAAAACAAAATACAAGAAATCAACATCACAACATTAAAATCCAATCATGCGATGAAGATTATTTTGACTGTGTGCAAGAAGACTGTCTACATTATCATAAAGACAAAAGAACAAGTCACATCCTACTCACATCACGTTCAATGCAATATCAAACTGACATAAAAGTAACACTAAAAAACACTATCTCACAAATTAAAGCAATAAAATTTGGCAGAAAGGTTTATACAAAACAAAAACACATAGATCCACACCCCCAACCCATCCCACAAAACAATGAATATTCATTATCAGGGCTACAACAAATAATATATTCTGCCGAGAATGAATATTTCAATTTTCAAAATCAATACATATCAATTATCAGGGCCACCTCCATTTCTATATTCTGCCCCGAAGATGAATATTTCAACTTTCAAAATTAATACTAAGATGATGAATGAGACTTACCTCTTATGAACAAAATACAAACTTAGTAATTGATAGCATGACTATGATGTACTTTCCTTCTGGTGAACTGTATTTTTGGGGAATACAATAACATTTTTATCAATATCACTTTTTTCTGTATTTACAGCTGGTTTAGTATACTCATGTTCATGTTTTTCAGCTGGGACAAGTTGTCCGGATTGTTCTTGTGATGGAGGCTCGGCATCCAGCTTCTTCTCCTCCTTGTCCGGGCACTGCTCCACGACGCGGATGCCGAATGGCTTTAGGTGGTAGATCATGTACTCCATGATGTACATCATGTTGGGGGAGACGTAGTGGAAGGTGATGGCGTGGTCGCTGCAGCAGTCAGGGCCCTGCAACGGGAGTCAGTGAGAGAGTAAGGGAGGACTTCGGTCTTAGTGAGTAGGTTGGGTTTAACACTGCTTTGAACAGTATTCCATTTATCATGGTTATATGATGGCGTGTCAGCTTAATGTGGGAGGAAAGCACGAAGCATGTTTACCACTCGTATAAAGATCATGGAGTTTATGAAGAATGATAAACTTTGAACATTCAATTGAAAACTTATGATCGGAAGTAGTAACATGCATAAAAATATTTGATAATGACAACATTGGTGTATAATAATAACTTTATTGATAATTTATAACAATAATGGCTGTAGCCGTGGCAACTTCCAAACTTTCGGGTAGTTAGTAATCTATCGGACTGTCATTCAGGTGATGTTTCTGACAGATCACGATCTGAAAAATACTATCATGAAAGTGTATCCCGTGGATCAGGGGTCCGGAAAATTTAAAATCCCAATCGGACATTTGCATTTAGGCCACGCCCCCTTCAAATAGCGTATTTTCGTACGACTTTTCACACACATTACAAGTTTACGTATTCATAATATGATGAATTATGAATTGTTTCAATTTAAATTGTTTAATTCACCGGACAATTAATAACAAATAATATCATGGATAAGCCGACCCCTTTCTACAGAATCTTTTTTCTGGTCCTCAAAATTCAGCTTATCTGCGGACATATACGGTAGGTGAAACCCATGAGCGCGGGGATGGTGCTGACAAACCTAGAAAAATGACCAGCAGAATCTGAGATTCAGGCCCTTGTTTTATCCCAGCTTTTAATGTCTTTCAGTATCTTACAGCATATAGGGGCGGTCGGGTAGTCTACTGGTTAAAGCGTTCGCTCGTCACGCCGAAGACCGAGGTTCAATTCCCAACATTGGTACAATGTGTGAAGCCCATTTCTGGTGTCCCCCGCCGTGATATTGCTGGAATATTGCTAAAAGCGGTGTGAAACCATACTCACTCACTCTGTTACAGCATATATATCAAACATGAAGAGGTTATTTTTAAGTGCAAGGTATGGTATCTGACAAGGACCACTTTTGGCTCACACGATCTAAGTAACCCCAGAAATGAGCATGACTTTCAGAAATTGTCATAAATGTTAAATGTCAGGGGTGGAAATTAATGAAGAATGTCCACAGGCCTGAATAGTAATAACATATAGCAATGCCTCAAAATGTTTGAAATTCTCCCAGTCATTAGGATACCCTTAAAATAAAAAAGTGCTGGTGCTAGTTTCCATTCCCGGATGTGTTCATATAAATGAGAACTAGACTTGTTCATTTCATGTCTCGAAAACACTGACTACCACAAAGCCTAACAAGTCTGAAAAGAGGATTTCAGAGGATTTCAGAGATTTTCAGGAAGGGTTGATTGCTATTTTTTAACATGAGCAAGTCTTTGAAGTTTCTTGTAGATGAAGATCATATTTGATAATGACTCAGGTTGTGTCACAGACTTCCTCACAGTCAGGTGTTCTCTTGAACTTTGTTCAATTTCCAAAAACCTTTTTGTTCACATTTTTAGCCATGCTTATCATGTTATGTAAAAAATTGCATGTGCGACCTTTTTACCTGAAATTTTCCATGTTCCATGTGGTCTGACTGACAAGAAGTTGTTATCAGTTGTTATAACTTTGAAATATTGATATAAAAAACTATCAGACATGTTCATTTTTACATCAATATTTAAAAGTTATAACAACCTCTTGTCAGTCGGACCAACTGGTACTTGGAGAATTCCACATGCTTCTGGCAAAAAAGGACCCAAATATCGTATCTTATCGTGGCTCGAATATCAGGATACCGTATTCGACATAATAAGCGCCCCGCTCTAATAAGCGCCCACAGTGAAATATGCTAATATTTTGGCTAGTGGACAATCCCAATTAGCAGCCCTTCTGATTGATCAATGTACACAAGACTTATTTATTCGCGTATAATACGCACTCGTGTGTTATATGCACCCTTAATTATGGGCAATTAAATTCTGGAAAAATATATCTGTGATACATAAACATTTCAGGCTGTTAGCATAAACCATGAAATTAATCTTTCAACACTTTTTTTTTCACCAAAATAATATTCTAATAAGAGCCCCCTATTTCTAATTTTGAGAGCACCCTGGGCGCTTATTACATCGAATATGATATGTATCAATGCATGAGGTAAGCATATGTGACAATTCTTTGTACTGCTGACCTGTTTTGCTGGGTAGAAACTATAGCTCCAATACCACATATCAGCAGGCAATATTCCCGGGATCAGGTGATGCTCAGGTACGAACGGATGGAATCTTTCACGCCCAAGTTCATCTCGTGAATCCTCTGCCTTCACCCCCACTTTCTCCAGACACCGCCCCATCTCTAGATCTTCGGCCCCGCCATTGTCGTTCCGACATTTCCCAGGATCATTCACAGCTTTTTCAACAAATCGTTTCAAAGCATCCTTACTCAGGACATATCCAGCGCCGCCACTCATATAGCCTTGGTTAACATACGGCTTAAACCTTCTGCCATAGTATAACGGCTGCTGAGTATCTTTATCACTTAAAAAATGTCGTAAATTTTCTAGAATAACGTACGTATCATCGTCAGCTTTCAGAAACCAGTCTGCCTCGTTTAAATGGTTAGAGTAGACATATTTAAATGCTTCTTTTGTCTTCGCCCAGAGGTTATCGCGACCTTCAGAAACAGGTAGCTTAATGGCTGGCAGGGTTGCGTCTACTTCTGAACTCATGAAGAGCAACACGTTACAGCGCTTGCCCCAAGTGGCCTTGACGTGCTTGGCCTTGGTCTGGATGTTGGATGGGTTGGTCATAACCCAGCACAGGACTCGAATCTTTGTAGCCAGCTCGTGGGCGATGGCGCTTGACTCCTCTGAAAAACAGGGACATTATTTATTGACTGGGAAAGAGTGGAGGGGCCAACCAGTGGATATTCCGGGAGGCCTGGGAATGAAGAAGAGATGAACAACTTGCTTCTGAAAAAATGAATGTTTGCAGGACTGTGTCTCCACCCTCTGATTCTAGCATGATTTCCCTATGAGGACCTTCTCACTGCAGACAGACAGACATCAGGACTGATTATATCACACTGCATACAGACAGACATCAAGACCCGATCATTTGTCACTGCAGACAGACAGACAGACAGACATCAGGACCTGATTATATCACACTGCAGACAGGCAGACATCAAGACCCGATTATTTGTCACTGCAGACAGACAGACAGACATCAAGACCCGATTATTTGTCACTGCAGACAGACAGACAGACACCAAGACCTGATTATATCACACTGCAGACAGACAGACACTCATTGGGACCCGATTATATCACACAGCAGACAGACAGACAGACATCAGGACCTGATTATATCACACTGCAGACAGACAGACATCAAGACCCGATCATTTGTCACTGCAGACAGACAGACAGACAGACAGACAGACATCAGGACCTGATAATATCACACTGCAGACAGACAGACATCAAGACCCGATTATTTGTCACTGCAGACAGACAGACAGACATCAAGACCCGATTATTTGTCACTGCATACAGACAGACAGACACCAAGACCTGATTATTTGTCACTGCAGACAGACAGACAGACACCAAGACCTGATTATATCACACTGCAGACAGACAGACACTCATCGGGACCCGATTATATCACACTGTAGACAGACAGACAGACAGACACTCATCGGGACCCGATTATATCACACTGTAGACAGACAGTCAGACAGACAGACAGACATCAGGACCTGATTATATCACACTGCAGACAGACAGACACTCATCGGGACCCGATTATATCACACTGTAGACAGACAGTCAGACAGACAGACAGACAGACAGACAGACAGACAGACAGACAGACAGGACCTGATTATATCACACTGCTGTCAGAGACAGACAGAAGTCTATATCACACTGCAGTCACACACACACACACACACACTCACATCAGGACACCACCATATCACAAGGCTAGCCAGCTGTGGCTCCATCTACTGATGCAAGCATGATTCTCCTACTAGGGCCAGCTGTGTCTTCACCCCAGGAAAGCCAATTAAACAGTAGACCAGCTGTCTCGACACTCATCTCACTTTGAAACCAGATCCCAAACTATCACAGTATATATCACACTTTTCTGTATATTAATGCTGGACAAAGCTGTAACACAGCGGTATATTGTCAAACGACCTACAGACATGGCACAGCTGAAACTAATGGACAGACTTTTTTTTCAAAACGCCAGATCAACAGGTGGTTTGGTTTGGTTTGGTTTGGTTTGTTGTTTAATGCCGCACTCAGCAATATTCCAGCTATATGAATGCTCTGTAAATAATTGAGTCTGGACCAGACAATCCAGTGGTGACTGACATCATGCGCATCGATCCACGCAATTGGGATCGATGACATGCATTAAGCAAGTCTGCGAGCCTGACCACCCGATCCCGTTAGTCGCCTCTTACGACAAGCATAGTCGCCTTTTACAGCAAGCTTGGGTTGCTGAAGACCTATTCTACCCCGGATCTTCACGGGCCAGATCAACAGATGGGAAAATATAGACTGAAAAAAAGAAAGGCCTTTCAGTCATTCAAAAATTATCTGAATATGTTGCAATGTGAGCAGTGGTAGTCAACATATTGAAGCTTGATATGTGTATGCAACAATATTTTGTAGTGAATTTCCATTTTGTTGTGAATTTCAAACAAAACATAAATTGTGCTTTTTCAGTTTAATTCTTTTTCAACTTTTCATTATTTATGGCCAGTGAAATCAGCTAAAAAATTATCAAAACGAAATCTCACAATTATTATAATCAGCATGTCTACTTATTCTATGTATGCTGTAACAACATTGTATTCAATCCAATATTTCCTTTCAAGTAATTCACACTAAGGGAGTGAGTATGATAGGGTATTGGGCAAACATCTAAGAGTAATCTCTGTGCCATCAGCATGATCAGTTACTAGTTTCAAGCTCCTTATATGTCCTTACAGCAGTAGAAACTAACAGTTTTAGTCCACTAGTCCTTATTATGATAACATACAGCAAAACCCTTAAAAATGGCAAATTTCTACTCGTGTTATAATACCTTAACTATTGGCAGTTTGCAAAGGACTACAGGACCTGTGCCAATTTCTAATGCTGCCTTAGGTCGTCTGTGCAGGGGTCCCGGAATGGTTTATGAGTGGTGTTTACGGTGGGCTAGTGATCTGTAGTACCGGTTGACCGGTGGGAAGTGTTTCCAGGACCGATGGACCGGTGGGAAGTGTTTCCAGGACCGATGGACCGGCGGGGGGACCCCCATGTGTGGGAAGTCAGAATATCTGACGGATGGACTGGTGGAAAATGTCCCCAGGACCGGTGGAGGGACCTCAGAGTATCAACAGAGTGAGTGAGTTGGGTTTAACACTGCTTTGAACAGTATTCCAGCAATATCACGGAGTGTCAGCTTAATGTGGGAGAAAAAGCTGAAGTTATGCAGGTCTTAGATGTTTACTACGAAAGTGAAACCCACGAGCACGGCTAATCAGTTATGGTGCTGACTAACCAAGAAACACAATCGGGGCGAACCGAGATTTGAACCCACAATCATAGGTTTCTGGCGTGCCCAAGGGATGCAACTCTGCACAGCAAATTGCGGCAGCTTAAACGACTTGTGCCCCCTGACATTCAGTGAAAGGATCGGTACACACAAGGCTGATATAACACCTACCATACTGGAGTTTGGTCATGATATCATACGGTATGTTTGTTTGTTAACACGGCACTCAGCAATGTTCCATCTTCATGATGGCGGCATGTAAATAATTTAATCTGGGTCAGATAATCCAGTGATTGAAATTGTGAGCAACGATCCATGCTATTCGGGTACGATGACACGCAATCAACCAAATTACTGAGCCTGAACACCTGAAATGAATACCTGATCACTTGGCATGAAGAAATGACATAGTTCTTTTTTTTATCAAAAAGAATTCATCCTACATTTGAATACTATTTAAGGAATGGTAAGGAGGAGGGGGCGTGAAAAATGTAACATAAACTTGGGTGGCACAACTGAATATAATACAGCCCTAAGGCCAATCTCATCGCCCCCTCCTCCCCTCCTATTATTAACTACCAGTCCCTTAAGTTATTACTGCCTTAAATTATGATCTAAATCTTACTGCCAACTGACTTATGGACAATGTTGAGTCCATCTAAAATGAGAACAATTGCCAGGCTGTATCCCAATAAATATCCCACATAGCTTTTGAACTGGTTAATCCAAGGGATGCTAATTGCATCGATTAGGTTCCTGGTATTTCAATAGTGAGTCCCTTTGATAATTACCAAACTAGTCATCTATCAAGAGTGCCTCAAATAGGCCAATTATTATTTGTTAATAATTTGTTAAATATGTATCGCAAAGTACAAAGATAATTACTGTTTTATGGAGGACAAGGACCAAATTGGCCCTTTAGCCCCACACAATCTACACAAAATCTAAACAATAAATAAATTTCAAAAAGAAACTTGAAGAAATTGTTTTGAAAGATGTCTGTCATAATATTACTAAATGTACGACCAAAACATGACAAAAGGGCTGATTTTTGTTTATTGTAAGCGTTTTATTTAAATTTTGAACATGACCAAAGTTGTTTCATATAGGAGTTGTAGATACAGTTGGTTGGTTTGTTATATACTTACATTCACTACATGTCAGAACAAAGCTTTGCAGGCAGCCGAGTTACACAGGAAGTTATGTTGCTAAAATTCATCCTAATGCACTGATCGATTTTTTCCCAAATTTGAACAAGAGGTCATGAACATTGATGACTAGATAAAAGGAATAATTACCACTACAAGGGCTGTATTCAGACGTAACACCACTTGTATGTTACCGATGTCAAAGATCTTGCTAAACCAGAAGTTTGGCAAAATGCAGAAGACCACGAGATGCACATAGAGCAGGAATATAGTGTGCACAGGATCAGGGTCGTCGCGTCAATCCCATTATTGTTCACTTATCGGATATTTCAGATTCAAGGTCTGGGAAATGTGACTATATTCTTTTGACACGACCCCTGCATGCAGGTGGACAATTTTGTGGGAGAACAAGTTACAGACTGTTTCGAATTTGTCGTCATTCGTAATAGGTTTGCATTTTTCATATATAAGCACCTCATTTCACATTTATTTCCCTGACAACATTTTACTGCAAGTCAGAGCCAGATTTGCTAATGTTGAAGGTATCCTAAGGGCTGGTAGAATATTAAATAATTTGGGGTTTCTTTGGGTGACTCATTGATCAGCTACTAGACCAATTCTAGGTTAATTTCTGACTGTTTTTGGTAAGTTTGGCCTTGCTGCCATTCAATCTTTCAGTGATGTACTGCATTCTATATGACTCAGCAATGTCTATTCTGTAAATTGGTTTACCATGTTTACAGACCTGACTACACAAATCTTCAAACTATGAAACAAAACTAAAAATATAAGCAAGTTCTTTTTTATCTTACATATTTCAGAAATGAAAATACCTCCAAACATGTCGAAGTGGGTCAAAAGAGGAAGGGACATTATTTGTCATTTCATTTCGTTCACATTTAGGGCCTCTTCGTGGTCTAATGGTATAGTGTCCGCCCAGAGAGCAAATGTTCGGTGTTTGATCCCCGACCGTGTCATACCAATAGACATTAAAAGATGGTACTTGTTGTTACCCTATCTGGCGCTCGGCATAAAGGGGCTAAAACAAGGACTGGTCAGCTCGGAGTCAGTATACTGCATGCACGTCACTATATAAGTGTAATAATCTTGGACGCAACGTTAGACCCCATTTCACCTCACCGCTTTCCTATTTCTCACTTTCACA